TACACTTTTCATGCTGTATACTGTATTTAGGCTCCTAGCATCACTGATGTGTTCTACACTTTTCATGCTGTATACTGTATTTAGGCTCCTAGCATCACTGATGTGTTCTACACTTTTCATGCTGTATACTGTATTTAGGCTCCTAGCATCACTCACGTGTTCTACACTTTTCATGCTGTATACTGTATTTAGGCTCCTAGCATCACTGATGTGTTCTACACTTTTCATGCTGTATACTGTATTTAGGCTCCTAGCATCACTCACGTGTTCTACACTTTTCGTGCTGTATACTGTATTAAAACTCTGAGTATCACTGATGTGTTCTACACTTTTCATGCTGTATACTGTATTTAGGCTCTTGTTCACGGGGATTATGTTCACGTGAATTTTTTTTTACTGGGCTGTAATCTGTTGCTTATGTACTGACTGATATCGTTCTGTCGTTGTTTACTTTTCAGCTGACTCTGTTCCTAACGGGATGCCTGCACCATCATGTTTTAACCAAACAAAATATCCATGACGTTACTGACTGAGGGACGGGCTGGCTCACCGTGGTCACCGGGTTTTATATTTATCTATTGAACAAGTATGTATATGTCTTTAAATGACGACTCACCCAACAGGTTGAGTATTTACCTGTATAAATCCAACAACATGATTCAACATAAACATAAAACAAGAGAATCCCAGTAAAAAAAGTAGTATGAAATGGGGCTGCTGCACCTCCCCGTCTAGATTTCCACTTTTCGTTCGATCAACATTAGGCCCTACAATAACACTGATGAGTCCTAGAAGGACGAAACAGTTGTATGATGTAGCATCACTGACGGGTCCTAGAAGGACGAAACAGTTGTATGATGCAGCATCACTGACGAGTCCTAGAAGGACGAAACAGTTGTATGATGCAGCATCACTGACGGGTCCTAGAAGGACGAAACAGTTGTATGATACAGCATCACTGACGAGTCCTAGAAGGACGAAACAGTTGTATGATGTAGCATCACTGACGGGTCCTAGAAGGACGAAACAGTTGTATGATGCAGCATCACTGACGAGTCCTAGAAGGACGAAACAGTTGTGTGATGCAGCATCACTGCCGAGTCCTAGAAGGACGAAACAGTTGTATGATGCAGCATCACTGACGAGTCCTAGCAGGACGAAACGGTTGTATGATGCAGCATCACTGACGGGTCCTAGAAGGACGAAACAGTTGTATGATGTAGCATCACTGACGAGTCCTAGAAGGACGAAATAGCTGTATGATGCAGGTTAATTATTTGTTTGACTACGGTACTATTCACTTGTGTGGCTTTCGTACAACATTCAGTATTGATATAAAGAACCAAAACATGGAAAAGGTCAATTATGTGCCATACGATATATCAAGTTGGAAACATTCTGTTAAATATTAGCCCTAAATGTCAAAATGTCAAATTATTGTGGAATAAAAGAATCCGTCATTGCTGTTTTCAGGTCTGTCGTAAGTGCTCTTGGTTCATTTTAGCACCTTTAATTCCAATGTAAATTATAATAATGTGTTATTTCTAAAATGTTGTAAATCCACTTTTAACATTAAGGCTTTTTGTAAAAGGAATCTTTCTACACTCTGACACAATATATACATAATTATCACTGACTACTAAGAGTTCATGTGTCCTTTTTTAATTATTGATTGCGATTTATTGTCGATGTATAAAATATACACCCTGCATATAAGTCATTGGATTTTTAATTGACTGACAATGTACATGGTAGCTTGACATGTAATTCAACATTATGACATGACCCCATCTTACATTTAATAAAATTTGCAGTGCAGCATATTTATATACATCATTGTCAAATATTGACAATATGCTACACGTAGAATTTTAATGACGAAAGGTAGGGTTTAATCTTGCATTATATGTCCACTCATTTCTCAGCGATTCAGACGTACCAACACACCTCAGGCTACAACTTGCCGTAATGACAAAATCTGTTCTCTTTATTTAAGGTCGGAGGGCGTACAGGTTTACAGTTCAGTAAATTTAATATACTACGTCTCATTTATTGTTCGGCGTGTAGAAATTTCGGCTGTTTTTCGTTCGTATAATCCACTAAAATGGAACGAAACGCAGGTTTCTGACGAAGGAATAATGTGAATGATTATTTCATAACGATCAAATGTTGTTTTTCTCGCATTGTTTTCACAGGTTAAAAATTCCTGCTAATAAGGTATCTTTTTTCGCCAGCTCTAACATTATTAAGGTTGGATGGTATAACACATAATTTGTTCATTACAAAGATACAATCGTATACTGCTGTCGCTGCCAGAACGATGACGGACGAACAAGGCGTCTGTTCACACCTCAAAGTCCTGAAAAGTTAAACTTAGGTCTCAGGTGACAAGTGATTCCGGGGAGGAGAGTAGATCTCAGGTGACAAGTGATTCTGGGGAGGACAGTAGATCTCAAGTGACAAGTGATTCCGGGGAGGACAATAGATGTCAGGTGACAAGAGATTCCGGGGAGGACAGTAGATGTCAGGTGACAAGTGATTTAGGGAAGGACAGTAAATGTCAGGTGACAAGTGATTCCGGGGAGAACAGTAGATGTCAGGTGACAAGTGATTCCGGGGAGAACAGTAGATCTCGGGTGACAAGTGATTCCGGCGATGAAGAGACAAGAGAGATCTGGGTGACAAGTAATTCCGGGGAGAACAGTAGATGTCAGGTGACAAGAGATTCCGGGGATGACAGTAGATGTCAGGTGACAAGTGATTCCGGGGAGGACAATAGATGTCAGGTGACAAGTGATTCCGGGGAGGAGAGTAGATCTCAGTTGACAAGAGATTTAGGGGAGGACAATAGATGTCAGGTGACAGTAGATCTCAGGTGACAAGTGATTCCGGGGAGAACAGTAGATCTCAAGTGACAAGTGATTCCGGGGAGGACAATAGATGTCAGGTGACAAGAGATTCCGGGGAGGACAGTAGATGTCAGGTGACAAGTGATTTAGGGAAGGACAGTAAATGTCAGGTGACAAGTGATTCCGGGGAGGACAATAGATGTCAGGTGACAAGTGATTCCGGGGAGGAGAGTAGATCTCAGGTGACAAGAGATTTTGGGGAGGACAGTAGATGTCAGGTGACAAGTGATTTAGAGGAGGACAGTAGATGTCAGGTGACAAGAGTAGATGTAAGGTGATTTAGGGGAGGACAGTAGATGTCAGTTGACAAGAGATTTCCGGGGATGACAGTAGATGTCAGGAGACAAGAGATTTAGGGGAGGACAGTAGATCTCAGTTGACAAGAGATTCCGGGGAGGACAGTAGATCTCAGGTGACAAGTGATTCCGGGGAGGACAATAGATGTCAGGTGACAAGTGATTTAGGGAAGGACAGTAAATGTCAGGTGACAAGTGATTCCGGGGAGAACAGTAGATGTCAGGTGACAAGTGATTCCGGGGAGAACAGTAGATCTCGGGTGACAAGTGATTCCGGCGAGAAGAGTAGATCTCGGGTGACAAGTAATTCCGGGGAGAACAGTAGATGTCAGGTGACAAGAGATTCCGGGGATGACAGTAGATGTCAGGTGACAAGTGATTCCGGGGAGGACAATAGATGTCAGGTGACAAGTGATTCCGGGGAGGAGAGTAGATCTCAGTTGACAAGAGATTTAGGGGAGGACAATAGATGTCAGGTGACAGTAGATCTCAGGTGACAAGTGATTCCGGGGAGAACAGTAGATGTCAGGCGACAAGAGATTTAGGGGAGGACAGTAGATGTCACGTGACAAGTGATCCAGGGGATGACAGTAGATGTCAGGTGACAAGAGATTCCGGGGAGAACAGTAGATCTCAGGTGACAAGAGATTTTGGGGAGGACAGTAGATGTCAGGTGACAAGTGATTTAGAGGAGGACAGTAGATCTCCGGTGACAAGAGATTCCGGCGAGGAAAGTAGATGTAAGGTGACAAGAGATTTAGGGGAGGACAGTAGATCTCAGTTGACAAGAGATTTAGGGGAGGACAGTAGATGTCAGGAGACAAGAGATTTAGGGGAGGACAGTAGATCTCAGTTGACAAGAGATTCCGGGGAGGACAGTAGATCTCAGGTGACAAGTGATTCCGGTGAGGACATAAATAAATCAATCAATCAGTCAATCAATCAATTAATCAATCGGTCGGTCGGTCGGTCGGTCGGTCATTCAGTCAGTCAGTCAGTCAGTCAGTCAGTCAGTCAGTCAGTCAGTCAGTCAGTCAGTCAGTCAGTCAGTCAGTCAGTCAGTCAGTCAGTCAGTCAGTCAGTCAGTCAGTCAGTCAGTCAGTCAGTCAGTCAGTCATTCAATCATTCAGTCAGTCAGTCAGTCAGTCAGTCATTCAGTCAGTCAGTCAGTCATTCAATCATTCAGTCAGTCAGTCAGTCAGTCAGTCAATTGATCAATCAATCGATCGATCAATCAATCAGTCAGTCAGTCAGTCAGTCAATCGATCGATCGATCGATCAAACAATTAGTCAATCAATGAACCAATCAATCAGTCAGGCAATCAATCAATTAATTTATAGAGCATGCAATCAACCAATCAATGTCAGCTGTCATGAACTTGATATTACAAAGACTAATATTTTTATTGTAATAATGTTGCCATGCCTTCATCGAAGCGCTTCAAACATCAGGAAAAGACAAAATTTTGACGTAGTGCACACAAATTTACCTGTACATGCAGTCTAAGAAATCCCTTATGCATTCTTAAAATGATTTTAAATAATCCTGGACAGTAGATATTTGTTTGATAAATTACTCCAACACATTACATCTATTTCTACGCCATGTAAATCGTAACTCTTAACGTGTGTGGTAAAGTATTAATCTGACTGTGAATATAATGTGTAACACTTACAAACGAGGTTATTCTGTTAAAGATCCTGTCCCACTCAAAAACTTTACAAGGTTATTCTCTCCGTGATCCTGTCTCACTAACAAACCTTTAGAGATTTTTCTGTCCGACATCCTGTCCCACTAACAAACCTTTCGAGATTTTTCTGTCCGAGATACTGTCCCACTAACAAACCTTTCGAGGTTTTCTGTCCGAGATCCTGTCCCACTAACAAACCTTTCGAGGTTTTCTGTCCGTGATCCTGTCCCACTAACAAACCTTTCGAGGTTTTCTGTCCGTGATCCTGTCCCACTAACAAACCTTTCGAGGTTTTCTGTCCGTGATCCTGTCCCACTAACAAACCTTTCGAGGTTTTCTGTCCGAGATCCTGTCTCACTAACAAACCTTTCCAGGTTTTTCTGTCCGTGATCCTGTACCACTAACAAACCTTTCCAGGTTTCTCCGTTCGAGATCCTGTCCCACTAACAAACCTTTCCAGGTTATTCTGTCTGAGATACTGTCCCACTCACAAACTTTACAAGGTTATTCTGTCCGTGATCCTGTCCCACTAACAAACCATTCGAGGTTTTCTGTCCGAGATCCTGTCCCACTAACAAACCTTTCGAGATTTTCTGTCCGAGATACTGTCCCACTAACAAACCTTTCGAGATTTTCTGTCCGTGATCCTGCCCCACTAACAAACCTTTCGAGGTTTTCTGTCCGAGATCCTGTCTCACTAACAAACCTTTCCAGTTTTTTTGTCCGTGATCCTGTCCCACTAACAAACCTTTCCAGGTTTTTTCTGTCCGTGATACTGTCCCACTAACAAACCTTTCGAGGTTTTTCTGTCCGAGATCCTGTCTCACTAACAAACCTTTCCAGGTTTTTCTGTCCGAGATCCTGTCCCACTAACAAACCTTTCGAGGTTTTCTGTCCGAGATCCTGTCTCACTAACAAACCTTTCGAAATTTTTCTGTCCGAGATCCTGTCCCACTAACATACCTTTCGAGGTTTTCTGTCCGAGATCCTGTCACACTAACAAACCTTTCGAGGTTTTTCTGTCCGAGATCCTGTCCCACTAACAAACCTTTCGAGATTTTTCTGTCCGTGATACTGTCCCACTAATAAACCTTTCGAGGTTTTCTGTCCGTGATCCTGTCCCACTAACAAACCTTTCGAGATTTTTCTGTCCGAGATCCTGTCTCACTAACAAACCTTTCCAGGTTTTTCTGTCCGCGATCCTGTCACACTAACAAACCTTTCGAGGTTTTCTGTCCGAGATCCTGTCACACTAACAAACCTTTCGAGGTTTTCTGTCCGAGATACTGTCCCACTAACATACCTTTCGAGGTTTTCTGCCCGAGATCCTGTCACACTAACAAACCTTTCGAGGTTTTCTGTCCGAGATCCTGTCACACTAACAAACCTTTCGAGGTTTTCTGTCCGCGATCCTGTCACACTAACAAACCTTTCGAGGTTTTCTGTCCGAGATCCTGTCACACTAACAAACCTTTCGAGGTTTTCTGCCCGAGATCCTGTCACACTAACATACCTTTCGAGGTTTTCTGTCCGAGATCCTGTCACACTAACAAACCTTTCGAGGTTTTCTGCCCGAGATCCTGTCACACTAACATACCTTTCGAGGTTTTCTGTCCGAGATCCTGTCACACTAACAAACCTTTCGAGATTTTTCTGTCCGAGATCCTGTCCCACTAACAAACCTTTCGAGGTTTTCTGTCCGAGATCCTGTCACACTAACAAACCTTTCGTGGTTTTCTATCCGAGATCCTGTCACACTAACATACCTTTCGAGGTTTTCTGTCCGAGATCCTGTCACACTAACAAACCTTTCGAGGTTTTCTGCCCGAGATCCTGTCACACTAACATACCTTTCGAGGTTTTCTGTCCGAGATCCTGTCACACTAACAAACCTTTCGAGATTTTTCTGTCCGAGATCCTGTCCCACTAACAAACCTTTCGAGGTTTTCTGTCCGAGATCCTGTCACACTAACAAACCTTTCGAGGTTTTCTGTCCGAGATCCTGTCACACTAACAAACCTTTCGTGGACTTAAAGCCTCAACTCAGCTTTAAGTTGCTATTCCCACGAGAGCCTTACTTGAGGTCAGTGTACTTTTTTGTCTAACCTGAAGATAATGTATTTGTACAGTCGCTATCGACCCAAATGTCTAACGAAGTCCCTGTACGGTTACTGTCTGCTCGAACACCTGAACATGAACATTCAGTGTACAATCGCTTTCGACCCATGAGCCTAACCTGTAGTCAGTGTACAGTCGCTTTCGACCCATGAGCCTAACCTGTAGCCAATGTACAATCGCTTTCGACCCAACAGCCTAGTCTGTAGCCAGTGTACAGTCGCTTTCGACCTAAGAGTTGAAATTGAAATAGCGCATTTGCCATACGTCTGAGAGTTTAATCCAAATACGTTGTACGGTTTTATCTGCCCGAGCGACGAACCTGAAATAAGTGTGCGGTTGCTAAAAGAGGAAATTACTTTAGTAAAATTCGTAACCCTGTAAATAATAAAGTATCAAAAGACTTTATATTTACTCTGTGTGACAGAGCAATTCCCTTCGAGGCAAAAATTCTTTCCGATTATGCAGGTTCTTCCCGGGACACGTCACAGATACTACATCATACAGCTGTTTCGTCCTTCCAGGTCTCGTCACTGATACTACATCATACAGCTGTTTCATCCTTCTAGGACTCGTCAGTGATGCTACATCATACAGCTGTTTCGTCCTTCTAGGACTCGTCACTGATACTACATCATACAGCTGTTTCGTCCTTCTAGGATTCGTCAGTGATGCTACAACATACAGTTGTTTCGTCCTTCTAGGACTCGTCAGTGATGCTAAGGTACTGTTCACTTTTTTGTGTTTCGTACAGTTAAATAGTAAGGCACTCTACATAACACGTGTTGATGAAGCAGAAGCTTATTTCTCAACAAAACATTATTTTTATTATCTTTGTACTTTTTATTGAGCTTTTGTACGCGAGGTTACTGATTGTTAAGATTTGTGACAGTGTATAATCCAGAAGTGAAATTACTGTATTGTCCATATTGAAGAAACCCAAGTAGCTTTTAATGTGTCTTAAACACCCTCTCTTTAAAATCATCTCATTCATTTGTCCATAGTGTACACTATCATACACCAGTCAGAATTATACAGGGACACTTTTCTTCTCGTGTCGCTAGGTGGGTTTTTTTAAGAAAAAAAAATGGAAGAAAATACGGGTATATTGATACGAACTACACACGAGATTATTGACTTGAAAGCTCATGTAAACTGGTGACGGAAATAAGGAGGAGGACATATCGAAATTCCGACTGATATTAATTATCTGCATTGATTTTCGTGGCGTGACCTTTAAATAGATACTTACCGATGAGACTTAATTGAGCCCTATTGTTCACCCTTTTCCCCCGCATAATGACGTCACTAATCCTGGTCAACCAAATCTATAAATAGACTGATATTAAATCTAACCCCGCACGTCGCCAGAGAATCGACACACGAAGGGCAGAGTAAAGGAGACGAGAAACCTTCATCATCATCATCATCATCATCATCATCAACTAACTTTTATTATGGAGCTAGGACAACACATTATACATATTAGTACATGACAATTATTTCGGCAATTTATCCCTATGTTAACAAACTCCACAAACTTCTCACAATATTTCCAGTTTTAGTGATGTAAAAAACTAGAAATTATATCAACATACCACAAAGCTTGGCGATATCACAATAGAAAATGACACTTATCTTTGGTATATTGTAAAGTGCACGCTTTAATTTTACTTCTATTATATAACATTATTGCTTCACAATTACTTATATTAGCAATAGATATGTTCGCGGGGATTGAGGGTGGGTGGGTTATTTTCACATAAACAAACTTGACTATGAATAACGTGAAATTAACAACACCGCAAATATAACCATTTATACAGTATGTGCAGTATCAAAGTGTCATTAGTATTGATTTAGCTAGTTATTGATTAGCTCTCGCGATACATGATGAACTGTTGTTAGAAAGCCATTTCTATACTGTCTGGTATGGATTGACATCACCTTATTTCACCTTATCAGCCTTGTATTTTCTTCGACTTAAATCAAATTTGAGGTTCTGACGAATCGTGACACGGAAGAAAAATCAGAAATTAAAATTATCTGCATAAATCGATTTCAATACCTTACAACCTTGCCCTTGGTTAATCTGGTATGGAGATAGAGATGGTAGTATTGTGGAATTCTTTGTATGTAAATGAACCACAAAATTTCGCTCACTAAATTGATGACGTCAGCATGACTCTATCCTCGTCAGTCTGACAAAATTAACCGACACCTGACACGTAGGAAGTACCTGTGCGTTTGTCGGTGTGGCACGTGCCATTGTATCAGGTTAATACACTTTTATGTTTTTTAAGGTTAAGATAGATGATAAGGAAGTGTGTGTATCATAAAGGGTGCTATTATAATATGTGTATGTTATGTGCTATCAAGTGTTTTATGTATATGTAAATTATATCTGTATATAATGTAACTACAATGATATCTAGATATGATATAACTACGATGGTACCTAGATATGATATAACTACAATGATCCCTAGATATGATATAACTACGATGGTACCTAGATATGATATAACTACGATGGTACCTAGATATGATATAACTACGATGGTACCTAGATATGATATAACTACGATGGTACCTAGATATGATATAACTACGATGGTACCTAGATATGATATAACTACGATGGTACCTAGATATGATATAACTACGATGGTACCTAGATATGATATAACTACGATGGTACCTAGATATGATATAACTACGATGGTACCTAGATATGATATAACTACGATGTTCCCTAGATATGATATAACTACGATGGTATCCCTAGATATGATATAACTACGATGGTACCTAGATATGATATAACTACGATGGTACCTAGATATGATATAACTACGATGGTACCTAGATATGATATAACTACGATGGTACCTAGATATGATATAACTACGATGGTACCTAGATATGTTATAACTACGATGGTACCTAGATATGTTATAACTACGATGGTACCTGGTACCTAGATATGATATAACTACGATGGTACCTAGATATGATATAACTACGATGGTACCTAGATATGATATAACTACGATGGTACCTAGATATGATATAACTACGATGGTACCTAGATATGATATAACTACGATGGTACCTAGATATGATATAACTACGATGGTACCTAGATATGATATAACTACGATGGTACCTAGATATGATATAACTACGATGGTACCTAGATATGATATAACTACGATGGTACTTAGATATGATATAACTACGATGGTACCTAGATATGATATAACTACGATGGTACGATATAACTATGGTACCTAGATATGATATAACTACGATGGTACTTAGATATGATATAACTACGTGGTACCTAGATATGATATAACTACGATGGTACCTAGATATGATATAACTACGATGGTACCTAGATATGATATAACTACGATGGTACCTAGATATGATATAACTACGATGGTACCTAGATATGATATAACTACGATGATCCCTAGATATGATATAACTACGATGGTACTTAGATATGATATAACTACGATGGTACCTAGATATGATATAACTACGATGGTACCTAGATATGATATAACTACGATGATCCCTAGATATGATATAACTACGATGGTACCTAGATATGATATAACTACGATGGTACCTAGATATGATATAACTACGATGGTACCTAGATATGATATAACTACGATGGTACCTAGATATGATATAACTACGATGATCCCTAGATATGATATAACTACGATGGTACCTAGATATGATATAACTACGATGGTACCTAGATATGATATAACTACGATGGTACCTAGATATGATATAACTACGATGGTTTAGATATGATATAACTACGATGGTACCTAGATATGATATAACTACGATGGTACCTAGATATGATATAACTAATGGTACCTAGATATGATATAACTACGATGGTATTTAGATATGATATAACTACAGTACTGTACATATAATTTAGTACAGTTTTAATTTCAGTACACACAGTTTTAATTTCTGTACACCCAATTTTAATTTCAGTACACAGTTTTAATTTCTGTACACAGTTTTAGTTTCAGTACACACAGTTTTAATTTCAGTACAGAGTTTTAATTTCATTTCAGTACACAGTTTTAATTTCAATACAGAGTTTTAATTTCAATACACAGTTTTAATTTCAGTACACAGTTTTAATTTCAGTACACTCAGTTTTAATTTCTGTACACAGTTTTAATTTCTTTACACACAGTTTTAATTTCTGTACACAGTTTTAGTTTCAGTACACACAGTTTTAATTTCAATACAGAGTTTTAATTTCAATACAGAGTTTTAATTTCAATACACAGTTTTAATTTCAGTACACACAGTTTTAATTTCTGTACACAGTTTTAATTTCTGTACACAGTTTTAATTTCTGTACACACAGTTTTAATTTCAGTACACCCAGTTTTAATTTCAGTACACAGTTTTAATTTCTGTACACACAGTTTTAATTTCAGTACACACAGTTTTAATTTCAGTACACAGTTTTAATTTCAGTAAACACAGTTTTAATTTCAGTACACACAGTTTTAATTTCAGTACACACAGTTTTAATTTCAGTACACAGTTTTAATTTCTGTACACAGTTTTAGTTTCAGTACACTCAGTTTTAATTTCAGTACACACAGTTTTAATTTCTGTACACACAGTTTTAATTTCAGTACACAGTTCTAATTTCTGTACACAGTTTTAGTTTCAGTACACAGTTTTAACAGTTTTAATTTCTGTACACAGTTTTAATTTCAGTACACAGTTTTAATTTCAATACACAGTTTTAATTTCAGTACACAGTTTTAATTTCTGTACACAGTTTTAATTTCAGTACACAGTTTTAATTTCTGTACACAGTTTTAATTTCTGTACACAGTTTTAATTTCAATACAGAGTTTTAATTTCAGTACACAGTTTTAATTTCAGTACACAGTTTTAATTTCAGTACACAGTTTTAATTTCTGTACACAGTTTTAATTTCAGTACACAGTTTTAATTTCTGTACACAGTTTTAATTTTAGTACACAGCTTTAATTTCTGTACACAATTTTAATTTTAGTACACAGTTCTAATTTCTGTACACAGTTTTAGTTTCAGTACACAGTTTTAATTTCAGTACACAGTTCTAATTTCTGTACACAGTTTTAATTTCAGTACACAGTTTTAATTTCTGTACACAGTTTTAATTTCTGTACACACAGTTTTAATTTCTGTACACACAGTTTTAATTTCAGTACACTCAGTTTTAATTTCTGTACACAGTTTTAATTTCAGTACACAGGTTTAATTTCAGTACACAGTTTTAATTTCAGTACACAGTTTTAACCCAGTTTTAATTTCAGTACACAGTTTTAATTTTAGTACACAGTTTTCATTTCTGTACACACAGTTTTAATTTCAGTACACAGTTTTAATTTCAGTACACAGTTTTAATTTCTGTACACAGTTTTAATTTCAGTACACAGTTTTAATTTCTGTACTTCAGTACACAGTTTTAATTTCAGTACACAGTTTTAATTTCAATACACAGTTTTAATTTCAGTACACAGTTTTAATTTCTGTACACAGTTTTAATTTCTGTACACACAGTTTTAATTTCAGTACACAGTTTTAATTTCAGTACACAGTTTTAATTTCAGTACACAGTTTTAATTTCAGTACACAGTTTTAATTTCAGTACACAGTTTTAATTTCTGTACACACAGTTTTAATTTCAGTACACAGTTTTAATTTCAGTACACAGTTTTAATTTCAGTACACAGTTTTAATTTCAGTACACAGTTCTAATTTCTGTACACAGTTTTAATTTCAGTACACAGTTTTAATTTCAGTACACAGTTTTAATTTCAGTACACAGTTTTAATTTCAGTACACAGTTTTAATTTCTGTACACAGTTTTAATTTCAATACAGAGTTTTAATTTCAGTACACAGTTTTAATTTCAGTACACAGTTTTAATTTCTTTTAATTTCAGTACACAGTTTTAATTTCAGTACACAGTTTTAATTTCTGTACACACAGTTTTAATTTCAGTACACAGTTTTAATTTCTGTACACAGTTTTAATTTCAGTACACAGTTTTAATTTCAGTACACAGTTTTAATTTTACACAGTTTTAATTTCAGTACACAGTTTTAACACAGTTTTAATTTCTGTACACAGTTTTAGTTTCAGTACACACAGTTTTAATTTCAGTACACACAGTTTTAATTTCAGTACACATAGTTTTAATTTCTGTACACAGTTTTAATTTCTGTACACAGTTTTAATT